GTATGTTCACCACCTTGAGTTATTTATAAAAATAATAAAGGTGGGATAAAAAAAAAAAGTGTCTCTCGGGATCCTCTGCAAAGGATAAGCTTCTCTCACTCATCTTTATATTTCTCCTTGTGATGTGCAACTATTAGGACCTGAATTGGAAAAGGTACTTCAGAGGGGACATCGGTGCACTTGTAGGGCAGCCATATATGTTTGAGCTAATGTATGTTTGAGCTAATGAGGTGGTGGGACCTTACATTTCTTTAAGGTGCTGCTGGACTGAGCACACCTACATTCCCTCAGGAGCACCTTTTTCACTCTGGAGCTGAACAGCTTCACATTCCTTATTTGTGCTCTAGCATCCTTCCTCCAGACTAAAGGAGGTTTTTCTGGGGTGGAGAAAGACAGCAGCTAGAATATTCAGGTGAAATATTCAAGTCCTTTAACTTATCATATTTTTCCATCAATAAGACGCCCCCATGTACAAGACGACCCCCCAAGTCCTTTAACTTATCGTATTTTTCCATCAATAAGACGCCCCCATGTACAAGACGACCCCCCAAGTCCTTTAACTTATCGTATTTTTCCATCAATAAGACGCCCCCATGTACAAGACGACCCCCCAAGTCCTTTAACTTATCGTATTTTTCCATCAATAAGACGCCCCCATGTACAAGACGACCCCCATCAGCTGACGTCAGTTACATAAGGCTCGTGATTGGAGGAAGCCTGTTTGCAGAGACAGTATGGGCAGTTTCACTCGTGATTGGAGGCTCGTGACTGGAGGAAACCTGTTTGCATAGACAAAGTATGAGCAGTTTTGCAACCGCGTGGTTCTCTCCTCGGCTTACTTCCTTGCATAAGACGCCCTTCAAATTTTAGCATAAGGATTTTAGAAAAAAGTATCGTCTTATAGTCGGAAAAATACGGTATCTTTAATCCTAGACAACTTTGAAAGCTGATCCTCATCTAGCCCTGAATGGAACCTGATAAAGAAGTTCCATGCACTGAGAGTATCTTCTCTAAATTAGAAGCCATGCACCAAAAGAGTAGGAAAGACTCTCCCTGTTATTTATATATCACATTTATATAGCCACCCATCTCAAACAAAGTGACTCTGGGCGGTTTATTATATATTAATTTATATATTTATATAAATGTAAAATATATACACACACATACACACACGTGTGTGTGTACGTACGTGTGTGTGTGTGTGTGTATAATTTATTATTCCATCAGATACATCTTTTGTCCAATTACCATAGAAACTTAGAGGAAAAATCCTCTCCTGCTCTCCTAGCTGATGATGAAATTTAGGTGCTGTAAAATTCTGTGCAATTGCCACTGCTATTTGGCATGGAGTTGTACAATTATTGTATTGTGTATTGTTGTATATAAAGGATGTCATATATTGAATTTTAAATTTATTTTTTTGTTATAGTTTTTATGATAATGTATGTTATTAGTCATTTTCCATAAATAAACTAAACTTTCAAATTTCATCATTTAAGTGGATTAAGTAGATGTGGAAAAACTCTTAGCATGCTTTGAATCATTTTCCCTTCAAGAGATTGTTATTAGACTAGACCATTCAAGCAAGGTGTGCGTGTAAGTTGTTTTGGGTGTGACCAGCTTTCTGGTAGTTCATGCCTATCCAAAAATATAATATCCACCTGCAGACTATTTTTTGTCTATATGTTTTGTTTTTTTCTCCAGTACACAGTACTTCTTTATTATATATACAAATAGAGATTCATCAGTACATAGTCCACCAACTTCCCAAGCAAAATGTCAGAAGGACAGTTGTCCTTATGTGTTTTATTGTCTATGATACACACAACTCTATATTTAAAATACAAAATTATTTCTGGATGCAAGGTAAGTTGCTTTACCTAGGTCAATTAAAAGCACACTCTAATACAAACAAAATACTTAAATCTATTTCTGTGAACAGAGGTAAATAAAACAGACTTGTTAATGATGGTGCTTGTTCAACATTTTTAATCATGATACCTCATTCGGTGACACAATGTGTGTTACTTTCACTGGAAAGAGTTCTCCAAGAACAGGCAACGATGGTGAGGTATACGGAGGCAGCAGGGGAGTGTCTACTTCAGACATCAGTAATTCCTAAAATAAGCAAGCTGTCAGGACTCAATTTGCAAGCACAATTTGCAAGAACAGCCCTAGAGAATGCCAAGAAGCACTTCTGAGGGTACTGGGAACAACCTGTCCAGGACACTGTTCTGTACAGATTGCCTATTCAAATTGACTTCTTATCTGGGGAGCAGCAAACGTCTCTGCTGTTTTAAATACTGGGAAATGGGACTTTTGGAATGTAGTTAATTGGTAGACTATTGCCATGTGTACGTGTGAACACATGTATGTACAAATCCCTGAACCCACTACTCCAAGGAATAAACTCAGGGCAATCTCTATGGTTCTTCCATTTTACAAAGCATGAAGCTATGAAACAAACTGTAATGGATAACATGCTATTGGCTAAGCAGGGTAACAAAAGGACTCTAACACAGTTGATTTAAGAAGATAAAGTAATGACTACCATAATACTGATTTAGTATTAAACCTTACCTCATGACTGATTTCACAATTTTCCTCCAAGTCTTCATAACTGCAATCTGGCATATCCTAGAACATATAAATTCAAATCTTAATACAGTAATACTTTCGCAGGCTCACTTTAGTATATTGAGTGCACCTCCATTTGAACTCCAGATGTTGCAATAAGCTTCTCCTCTGCCTCCAGCTTCAATCTGAATTCCTTTGTACAGAAAAAGTTTAGGCTTGCACCAGCTGTTGTCACACAGTGAATCAATTAAGTTGGTTTCCTCCATTCATCCCAAGCACACACATTATTTCAAAACTTGTCTGTAGTTCAGTTGTACAGATGAAGTACAGGTAATCCTTGCTTAGTGACCACTACTGGGATCGGCAACTCAGTCACTATGTGCCATGGTTGCTAAGCGGAAAAATCACATGGTCACAATGGGCTTACGACCATTTTTTACTTCCCTTTTGGTTGTTAAGTGAAGTGACGTAGTTGCTAAGCAAAAAAACCCACCATTTTACTTCCACCTTCTCTATTAACTCTGCTTGTCGCAAGCTGGTTGCAAAGCACGTGAATAGCAATCACATGACCACAGGACACTGTGATAGTCGTAAATGTGAGGATTGGTTGCAAAGTTATTTTTTTACACCATTGTAAGTTCAAACAGTCAAAGAATGAGGCAGTCAGTAAGTGAGAACTACCTGTACAAAACTTCACAGATTAAACCATTAAGACATGGTTTTAAAACTCTGGAACTCAAGTAACTTATTGTGGTTGGGCAGAAGGGTTACAATGAAATTGAATTCCTTATAGATATTTAAATCTGAATTGATGTTTAGACATCTATCAATAAGAGAAAGCAAACATATTTTTTTACCAACTAAGATCTAAACATTATAGATGTTCCATGTTGAAGGATGAAGAGTGGTTTACTATACCAAAAACAGAAAAGTCTCTACCCTATATTTATTGCAATATATTTATTGCAAACAGTAGAAAGGTGCACCTTCGATAAATTTTGAGGTTATTTCCTTTTCAGTTACCTTACAGGTAGTCCTTGGGACTGGAATTTCTGTTGCTAAGTGATGTGGTCAATCCTTCCAGTTCCCGTTGCAGTTAAACGAGGATTGTGGGAAATTAAGCAAGCACCTCCTTGCAACTTCTTGCCAGCTTCCAACAACCAAAGTCAGTGGGGAAGCCAGCAGGAAGTTGCAAGTCCCAGGTGGGTTGCAAGCAGGCAGGCAGGCAGGCAGGCAGGCAGGCAGGCAGGTGAGTGCTGCCAGGTGGGAGAGGGAGTGAAGGGGTGTGTGGGTGGCCGGGGAAGCACGGCACAAGTGCAGCAGGGCTTGGGGTGTCTGTTGCCAGTGGGAGGGTGCATGACTGGCAGGGCAGCGTGGTGTGTATGTGGTGGGACTTGGGGTAGATTGAGAAACACTGCTCTAAAAAACCAGTAATACAGATACAGGCAAGCAACCCATTATTATTTGGGTGCTCTGGATATGACATATATGAAACAATAGCTAGTTTGCTTTGAAGAGGTAGAGCACCTGGAGTTATGACAAAAAGTATAGGACAACTTGGTCAAAATTGCATCTGCTCTACTTCAGATGTCTAGAGTTTCATAAGTATGGAAGGCAATAACGAAACAATATCAAAAGAGGAAACATCATCTGGCAAAGGTAGTCAAAACAAAAGTCAGAAGTGAATAGGGAAGACGATATCAAGCTTGACAATAGTAAAATTATAAAGGGTCTTGGAAGAGTAGTTGATTACCAATTGATTATGAACTAGTAGTGTGACAGAGCTGCAAAATATACGGTTTTAGACTGCATCATCATAACCTTTCAAATAACAGGAAATATTTGTTCCACTTTATTCTATATTGATTAGGTCCTCCCTTGACTGCTGTGTTGAGTTTTAGACACCATGCCTCAAGATGGTTGCAGAGAAACTGGCATGCATTCAGAGAAGGCATTGGGGGTGACCAAGTGACTAGAAACTATGGCTTGTGAAGAGAGATTGAAGAAATTTCTCAATCATTCCAAAGTGCCAGGTATAGCATAATAGATTTCAGTTACAGGAAAGCAGATTGTGGCTGAAAGTCAGAAAAAAACCCTTCCTCATAATAAAAATAGTTTGCCTGTTCAGTGGATATGATCAGACCAAAAAGAAACTAGTGACCTAAATACAGGTAGTCCTTGTTTAGCGACCGTTCGCAGTTATGATGGTGATGAAAAAGTAACTTTATGACTAATCCTTCACAGGTCTGCAAAGCAAAGGAAAGCTGAAGTAAGATTGTAAGCACAGTTGTGGTTTCACTTAGTGACTGCTTCACTTAATTATCAAGTCGCCAGTCTCAACTGTGATCTCTAAATGAGACTACCTGTAACCCCTTCCAACTCTATGATACAGGTAGCCCTCACTCAGCAACCACAATTGGGACCAGCAACATAGTTGGTAGGTGGAAAATCATGTGACTGTGACTGTGCTTATGACCTTACTTCCCTTTCGGTCGTTAAGGGAAGCAATGTGGTCACTAAGTGAACTGCGACTGGGCTTACAATTTTGCAGTACTGCATTAACTCTGCTTGTTGCAAGCAAAAATGTGTGATGGTTGCAATGCACATGAATGGTGATCATATGACAGGGATGTAAATGCAAGGATTGGTTGCAGTTATTTTTTTAGCATCATCATAACTTTGGTCGCTGCACAAGGCAGTTGGTAAGTGACGACTACCTGTATTATGAAATAGGAGAGATGGTCAAAATTACAAATAAAGAGACTTTACATGAAAGAGTTTTGCGGCCACTTATGTGGATTGTAAAATACCTTTTAACATTTGAACAATATTGAAGATTCTACAAAATTGGTGGCATCAGGTAAGAGAAAAGATCAGATTGTACCATGACTTTGCCTTTATGCCACAACCATAAGAAGGAACCAAGGAAGATCAAACTTTGAATCTGCACAGTTACTAGCAGGTCTTGCAGTAATATTGTCAAAGGATTAGCTTCAGCTGCAGCAGCTGGAGTGACATAGTGGCTAAGAGTTCAAAAAGTTTAAAGGCAAGTTGAGTTAATACTACAGAAAGGCTGTATTGAGGAACAAGCCAGGACAGTCCAGCCCCCCAACTGCATACCAAATGATATAAGCAACCAAAACTATCAGCAAGATAGGGATGAAGTCTGAAGAGGCAGTCAAATAAATACTCAAAGGAGTTAGTGAAAGACCCTTCTAATAACAAAAGAAACAGAATAGCAGTCAGCCACAGACTGCTGAATTTTCAAAAGAAAAGGCCCATTTACCCTATAAGAACGCAAAGCTGAAGGCTTCCTAGAGGACTCAAACAAATTTACAGAGAAGGAATTAGTCACCGTTCATTAGGCACAAGGTTTGTGGTTCCAAAGAGACTATCTAATCTCAACATTCAAATACAAAGATAATGCTGAAACCAATGTCTGGCCCTGTGTAGTACGTAGATCTGCAAGCCACATTTACCTCAGACACTATGGGGTTATCAGGCTGATGCAATTATATCCTGATGGAGCTTGACAACTATTCTGGTATTAAGGTAGGTAAGAGGAAGTGAAAAGCTACTATCCTAGGACAAGCTAGAAATTGTTAGGGTGGAAAGATGCATTGTTAATTGAAAAAGAAAATGTGCAAAGTAGCCCTTTTTCATACGCTCAATTGCCAGATACACTGCATCATCATGAAAAAAACCTAGACATTATGGGGTTTGTGGCAACTTGGCTTCTAACACAGAGCAGCCATACTCAAGAATTCAAGCTCTTTTTTTAACATTGTGCTTCTTGCTTTTTCTACCTGGATGGCAATCTTGTAAATACTAGATTAACAACTAAGAGAATAATTTGGAAAAAAAATAAGGATTTAAATGAAAATATGTTCATTTTAAGATATTCATCAAAATATAAGATTTAAACCAGAAATGCACAACCCGAGATGTTAAGGCTACGTGCTGCTAAGAGCAAAATCACATTGGTTGCATGGCATAAGTTCAACAGCTCCCTTGTGAAGGAGTTCACCCACTTGTCAGACGAAGTGGGTAAAAAGACCCACAGTACGTAACAAAATCATAAAGGTGGAATGACATTGAATTTGATGGTAAATAATCACTGATCCAATGTAACAGTATCATAAAATTCTTGAAAATATTAATGTCTGTCTTATGGATTGTCCCTAAATTTGCAGCTTGGTCCCAGAACAAAAATGACAATAGCAAATAATAGCATATGTCTTTGTCTCCAAATTCCTTGTCAAGAAAGGAATATTCCTAAACCAGAGGAAAGAAATGTCTATGCCCGTTCTACAGTTTGACCTCCAGGTTACATCTAGGAATACATCTAGGCCTGCACAACATGTGGCCCGCCAAAGGATTTCATGTGGCCCACATCACTCGGGAATGCGAGGTCCGAAAATGCAGTATGTTTTTTTTTTTTAAATAAAGTTTCCACGATGAGCTGTCGCAGGGATGATTTCCAGGAAATAACCAATCAGCACTCAACCTGTGAGTGCTGACACGCTACGACGGCGACAAGGGCAGCAAAATTATTCACCGAAGCAGCTCTGGGAGAACGGCCATTTTGATAATTGTAAATTTTACAAGACTAATACCTTTGTGAAATGGATGATCAAAAGAAGCTGAAGATTGAATCAGAACATAGAGTGTTTAATCCGGAGTGGGCAAATAGATACTTGTTTATGTACACTAGAGACAAAATATTGTGCCTTGTTTGCCGAGATGTAATGGTCGTTCCTAAGGAATACAATCTGTGTCGCCATTTCGAATCAAAACATCCTGACTTAGCCAAA